CAGACCACCCGGGCCCCCCCCCCCCCCCCAATGACGTTGGTGAAACTAGCAGTCCACTCGTCCTTAACAGCAAACGAATTCAATCATACATGAACACATTCACTCACTCCAAGCTCTTTCCTACGGTTCCGTCACTATGAAGTGCAGACAGGGTCTATTCAGCTCACTCTTCATCCTCCTAGTGAGAAATTAGTGGTTTCACCTTCACTCCAAATATATCAAAGGCAGAGCTGTCCTACAGACGTAGAGCTGTTCTGGTAGTTAAAGAATGAGAGAAAGAGAAAAAAAGTGAAATGCCCACCATGGACACAGACACATCACCATGGGCCTGTTAGATCAGTCTCCACCACAAGCCCCTTGAAGACTAGGTTATCGGGCACGGTCAGTGCCTAAGTGGATGCTGTGCAGCCCTGGGCGGTAGAAGACTCTCAGCCTGATTGTGCGGCTTTTAAGGGAGCACGAGAACTGCCTGTGCCTCGGCGACTGTGCGAGTTGGGACAGCGCGCTTACAGTGTGCAGAAATCACAGCGCTGATATTGTGCCGAATGGCATGTTATGCATATTCACAATGCCAGTACTATTATGAGGGCTCTTCACAACATGAGAGTGGCATCGGGACCCAGCTTCCTCTTGTGCGATGATATTTGTTCAAGTAATGCTATTCGGAAGGTAACCTTCCCAAGCTGTACACACCCCAAATAATCACCTGAAAGTGATTCAGCATTAATAAAGTTAGAAAAGAAACAGACGGGAGGGTCTTAAGCAACTCTATCCATTGAACTGATTCATTACAGCATTTAATGCATGTAAAACCCTTTATGAAAGCAAACAGAAAGTAAGTGATTACATTAGGCTGTTGACATGCTGCAGTCACGCACCAAGTAAATGGCACAAACAAAACAAGTGTGATTGCGAAGGCTCTGTTGACTTTAGCCCTTCCTCACAGTGTTTTCCAAAATGTACCGATAGGCCAATATTCCAGACATTCGGAAGCAGGCTTTGTTGAGGTTAAGGGTAAACACACGTGGCTCAAACTTTGGATATGTTTCAGTGCCGTCTTTTGATTCCAGCATCTTTATCCCAATCCTGGCAAACAGGAAGGAGTCTGTGTCCAAAAGACAGCCAGGACTCTTTCTGTTTACCCATGACTCTCACAAGAGTCCTTCTGCTACCATCATCATCATCTCAAACAGCTGGGGCTTCATATAATACACCATAATACTAGTCTGCGTGTGTTTCTGTGCTCACGCATATTCAACGTAGATTTGAAGGGTAAATTGCTTAATGATTTCTGGGAAAACTATAAATTGGGGTACCAAATAAGCACCATTACTACAATTTGATTACCATGCAATTGAATTAGAGGGTAATCACCATTTCTATATATCATTATATTGAAACGCAATACAGGATTAGTTTATGCTGTTGGCTATGGGGAGAAGATATGACCATCTAAATAAAAGGTGGAAGTGTAAATCTACAGCTTTTAGCTACCCATTAAAGAGCAAAACATCTTTTCCTGAAAACTGTCACACAAGGGAGAGAGGCTCTAAAGCTCAGGCTGAGGGCAGTAGATTATTGAAACAATGCTTCATCAGACAAACACTGAATCTCTGTGATTGGTACTTGCATCTGTGCAAGTGTCATCCAGGGTCCCCATCATGTAGAAGAGCATAGTTGTGAGTCCATGGCTAGCTCATACAGTACCCTGTAAAGGGGGTAAAAATGTTTAGAGGTATGTCAGCTTGTCACCGAGGCAGTACACCACCACTGAAGGTTAGGCGGCACCACCACTGTACTTTTGTAACATCAGTCTGAAACATATTTGCACCTTATCTGTCTCTTCAGAAGTCACAAATGCAATTCAGTATTTGGTCTTATCTATCTATCTATATATATATATATATATATATATACATATATACACGCACACATACTGTATATATATATATATATATATATACACACATATATTAACGAACAAAATGTGCACTTTAAAATATATTTATAAAATGCTGCTGACAAAACGTGTATCTTCAACTATACAATGGCTTATGAATAATCAGACAATAAATGATTAATCAGTTATGTTTGATTCACTACAAATATTTTTTATATAAGTTTAATAAGATTAATTTGTTTAATAATCATATTACACTGGCTGTGCCGCATGCGTCTGATTCATGCCGACAAATGCCCGAAATGGGAGGCAAATCGGTGCTCGTTCATGGGAGTGACAATCACGCAGTGTGAATGATCAAAGACGCGATCTGAGGGAATCGCCGGCATGTCGCCGACGCCCATGAAATATTTGGCATGCTAAATATCTGGAGCTGTCGGCGATTCACAATCACGCTGTGTGAAATGAGTTCTGACTGAAAAACACATCGGCGATGACCTACAGCCAATGAGAGACCAAGATACAGGGCAGCGGGAAGTCAAGGGAGGAGTTATATGAAACGTAGTTTGTGGAGCAGTGTTGCCAAATCCGCAATTGCTGCCGGTTGTTTTTTATGTCAGCAGGTTGAAGCGACCCCAAGCTGTCAACACTGGCCCCAACAACTGTCCAAGTCATTGGTCCGCTTTTGTTCCCAGCCCTTCACACTCACTTATAAGGATCTCTCCAATTATGTGAGCAGACTGGGGACGTTGTGGAGTGGCCCAGTGAAACAGAATGTGCCATGCTAAACAGGCTTTATTAGAGACAGATTTCTGATGCTAACAGCAGCATTGGAGACAAAAGATAAAAAACAGGGATGGGAATCGTGAAGAATTTAAGATCACGCATTTAAGTCTGACACACAACACAATAGTAGTCTAAACCAGTGTTTCTCAACCAGTGGGTCGCGACCCACTAGTGGGTCGAGGATCATTCCGTAGGGGGTCGCGAGACTTTCTCTGTGTTCTCAGTGTTACACCGGCACAGTAAGTGCACTTCACAAAAGGCTCATTGAAACAGTGACCTCCAACAAATCGTATTTTCGAATGTCGCATGAACAAAACAAAGAATCATACTGTGAGCAATAAACCTAAATAACTACATCTGAATTCAAAATGATGATATATACTAGTTTCTATTACATTTATACATGGTATTGTAACTAAATGATCGATTTTACAAATATGATATTATCTATATTATAGATCACTGTTTTCACCATTTTTCCAAAAACACACCCTTTATGACATTGAAACTTGTGTATCATAATTCAGAGTTTCCCACGAGTAAATAGGACTTCACTTGATCAACCATGTGCTCAGAACTTATTATTATGATATTTCCGACTTTATTTGAGAGGCTTATTTTGAGTGGGTGTGTCTCGTTTTGAAGGCTACGAAAATTAACCATGGTTTTACAACAAATAAAACCAAAAAAACATGGTTACTTAAACCATGGTAACCACAAATTAACCATGGTTTTGCTACACTAACCATAGTTTATCCATGGTATTTGTAGTAAAACTGTGGTTATACAAATGGTAATCAATACGCCAAAAAAACATGGTTACTACACTTTAACTACAATAAAACCATGGTCGCATATGCCATTGAAGATGTCTGATTTCATAAAAGTAACCATTACATTCCAAAGAAAGAAAGGAATGACAATTCCTCACAGGGAAGAGTCAGTTTTATAGTGGTTAGTTTTCTGAAATTAGAAATCCTCACTGACATATGTGGCTAACAAATGTGACCTCAAGAGGGTGCATGCTTTGAAAGGAGACACAGCAAGTAAGTACGTACTCTGATTAATTAGTTGTTTGATTTACTATAAGAACTAACTTATAATAGTCATTTGGTTAGGAATTGGACTACAGCTTGAATGCACTACGCTTTTGATTCACTAAAAACAACCAGCTCACATAAGTCTTTCACTTGGGAATCAAACTACACTGCCCACTATCTTTTTCATGCTGTATATTCAGCAGTGGTGCTGTGGCACCCCTGAAAGAGTAGTGCAGGACTGTTTTACTGTAGTGTTCCATCCACATCAGCCAAAGAATATACTGTATGTGCAAAAACCATTTACAAAACACCATTATTTTCATATTTTGTTTAATTAATAGTGGCTGTTAACAGTTTCTTGAATGTGCATTCTTCTGCGTTCTCGGTTCCAGACCGTACTTAAGAACACGTCTGACCTGTTGTCAGTTGAATTTATTTAATGCTTTGCCTGACTAAGTCATGTTGTACTTCATGACTTCAAGAACCTTGTCTTGGTGTTCATGCTAAATGTTTTCTGCACCAGACGTGTAGGCCAACTGAGAGAAATCTTTCACTAAATGTCAAAGGACTTTTAATGAATGTCTGCTAAAGTTTGACCTTACAACAGCAGTTCAGCCTGCAATGAACAAGAAGCACAAGCTGTTCGATTAGACCCATTTCAAATCTGTATGGCTCCTAATACAAAAACTTTATAACAGAACTTCAGTGGCCTCTTGTCCCTGGAAAATACTGTCCATTCCAACCATGTCCACTGGCATGCACACAAACACAGGCTCGATTTTCTAAAAAAATAAATAAATTTCAACAGTGCAAAAACAAATAAAATATGATATCTAAACCTTCTGCAATAAGCATAAACCTCTGAAAAAGTTTATGAAAAATAATCACCAGGACAACACACGCATGTGGTGTTTACACTGTCGCCAGTGTCGCAGCTATCCCACATCTCCGACAAACACAGAGGAGGGGGCAGCCGGCAAAACAGGAAATATCTTTTGCATATTATTTTAAGTGACTGTTCAAATTTCATTTCAGAATGGTAATCCACAAAACAAATACGAAGAGGCATATTTTAAAAAGGGAGGCTCTGCTTCAATTGCCTATTGTGGTGCAGAATGTGTGTTTACTCTTTGTGTCTGTTTGAATTGATTTGCACAGCTCGGCAGACAGCGGCTGAATGCTGCGACCAAGAATCCATCATCTCATGTGATCTGATAGTTCTGCAGTATTAGATTGATTTTCCTCTCTCCTCTCATCTTTCCCTGTCTCTCGCTCTCTTTGTCTGCTTTCCTACCCATTGGCGACGTTAACAAACATGCCAAGTTACATGTCTCCCCATCTGCTAAAACAGAAACACAGTCCCTTCTGTCATGAACAACAGATTAAGGTGCAAGAATAAAGAGTAAAGTGTTTTCGTGTTTGCATGTTACTCCTTGACGCCAAACTTTACAGAGCACAGATATAAGCCTAAATGATCTTCTTTGAAATATCCACTTGATGTATTCATATTC